TATCCTCGGGTTAAGAGTACAAACAAAAGAGTAGTGATACAAATTAAATAAAGTTTTTCTCTACAGAACAACTAATTTCTGCATAAAAAGTTTGCATAAAAAATCTTGAACAGTTATATAAAAAAAATTGAGATTTTCGTTATTATTTCTTAATTACATTTCGATTAGAGCACGCTTCTACTTATCTATTTAATTTTTGATTTAGGTTGTAAATCTTGCTAAATTTCTTGTGTTATTTTGAAATGCGATTAGATAAATCTATAAGTTTTTCATAATGTTTTTCTTGTAAGAGTGAATGTAAGAATTAGAAAAATAAATGTAATACATCCTTAACGGAATCAATGTACTATTACATTTAAGTTTTTATATATTTTTAAATAAAAATCCTGGTTTTTTTTCCTCAGGATAGTTTAATTTTTATAAAATAATGATAATTTTTAACAATTTAAGAGTTTCTCATTCAAGTATTCAAAGTCCAATGTATATTTTCGCTTATATTAAATAAAAAAAACGTAATACATCAAATTCATTATTTTATATATGTTGTGCAACAATCTCGTCGACATTGTAATTATTATTAACTAACATAAAACATAGTAAACTTTTAATTTACTTCGAATTTTTAAGAAAATAACGAAATATATATTACGCAATCGTATTAAGAAAATAATTTTATATGTATTATTATTTATTATATTGTTTATTTATATTGTTAATTTTTATACATAAAGTTATATACTACCTTATTGTAATAAATATTATATGTAAAATATAATAATCATATATAAGGATTTTCGTTTCGTATTATCAATTCTGCAATTCATTCATATTATTAATACTGTTTATTACCGTTTTTTTTTCAATACGCTATATGTCAACAATAGCGAGTGGTAACCGAAAACGTAGGAGACACCGAACATCATACAGCGCATCGAGGACGAGAGAGTACGATAGTATCTCTATCCTCTTCTCGCAGCACGTCAAGCGCGAGAGAGTACGATAGTATCTCTATTCTCCTCGCGCAGCGCTTCGAGTGTGAGAGAATAAGTAGTCCTATTTTTTTCTACTGTCCGAGGGTAGTCGAAACTGACACTATGCAACGTACACGAATTAGGCTCACGGTTCTGTGACACATACATCGAAGTCCATTGATAGCCCATGTTCGTGTACTCTGCACGGCGTAACGCTGCGTAATGTTATGTGTCGCAATTCGGTACTTAAAAACTATTATTTTTTGTTCCCCTTTATCGAACGAATTTTAAGTATCACGTTATTTAAGTAATTCAGGACATTTCTCTTTTTTTTCTTTCTTCCCGACACACTTTCACTTTAGTCCTGTCCAAACAACTCATAACACATCATCACATTTTCCAAAATTCTCACGTAGTTTTCCCCTTTTAGAAAACCGTCCCAACCGTTATATTCTTGCATCAAAACGCGTCGCGTTATTGGTTATTACGTTAGCAAAATACCGCCTACCTCGTCTTGGACGAAGATCCTTCTTGAACACGAAGTTCAGTTCTCATCAAAAACTCGAAGGAAAAACATCACAATCTCGTCAAGTGTATCGTGTGCGAGAAATAAAATTCAACCTTACGATAATCCTATGAATTTTCTGAATTCTTAATTCCTTTACACATTACGTCGCGACTCGCACGTAACAGTAAACACGATGGCCCGCCAAGCTAGCCAGGCATTAGCTTCGAGTGGTAGAAACGGATATACGATCTGTTCTGTTTTCTCTCTCGAACTTATAACAAAATTAACAATATGATGTTGGACCTTAAGTTGCCGAATTGACGATATGCGACATTATTATCAATCTATTTTCAAAACTTATACATATTTCTGTAAAATTATTATAATATATATTTTGTATTGGATTTTATATTTACAAATATAAAAATATAAAAATCCGCTGAATGTTTATTTTTAATTAATTATTTAATTTAAAGTAATTAGCCAAGTAGCAAGATGATGCCATTATGATGATGATTTAAGGTCATTTTTCGTCATTCTACGTCAGTATACCAAATAATGATGTAAAATAAATATAACATTTGTCATGAAATATTATCGTCATAAATTCATTATTTTCGTTTTATTTTTAAGTCATTTTTAATAAATAAATGAAATAACATTATTATTTACTATCTTTCTTAATTAATTATAATATATAAATATTTCTCATATTTAACATACAATTATTAACAAATAATTAAATAAACAAATAAGTAAAATATATACAACAATTTATAAACAATTTTTATAAAAACAATGATTCTTATTAAAAATAATATAAATTCACGGCTCTATATATGTAATTAAATTATCTACAAAAATTACATATGCAATCGAGATTTTAAAATTGAGACTGTTTATACAACATAGTAACATTCATTAACCAGATCTATCATATTTTATGTCAAGATCCCATATTCACTTATATCATCATTTTAGTAGCAGATTTTATCCCATATGCAAAGTAAGCAGCATCGAGCAGGATCCCAAGTAAGGATGGGTAGGCCGTTTTAGAAACATGCGGCGATAGAAGATAAAAGATGTTTTTAGCACTTTCACTTTTTTTCATTTTTTCATTTTTTTTACTTATTTTTCGTAAAGGTGTCATGTATATTATAGATTTTTAGTACTAGCAGTCAATATCGGAACGTAATCGTTATTTTGTCGTCATAAGTATCACATCATCGGTCTGTCACTTATAGACGTCATTATATGTTCCTTTTTGGTCTTTTATGACGTAAATTTAATGATATTAATGACTTAAAATAGACATTATATTGACGACATCTTGCTACCTGGGTATTTAGTTAATTTAATTACTTTATTATTTAGTTTATTTAGTTTATTTAGTTTATTTAATTATTATAATTATTACTATTATTTAATTAATATTATTTAATTAATTATTTAGTTAATTTAAAAGATGTCCCTTATATTAAAACAAATTATTTCTAGTACTTTTAATAATATTTAGATATTAACTATAGATATTAACTATATATAATTATAGTTTTTAATATAGTTTTTTTATTTTTCTTTTTAGAACAAATATCAATAAATACTTTTTCAAACAAGTAGTTTTAACAAATAAATTAATTATATTTTAATAACTAAGTTATTCAGAGTTAATATACAATACTATTATAGTAAATATTTTAGTCTTACCGACAATGAGAACAAAAAAAAGTGTGTGTAAAACTGGTGTCTCATTTTGCGGAAAAAATCGTACAAATTATTGAGAATTCTAGCTTCCTTTTTAATAGTTCCTGAAAGGTTAAACAAATAGTTTTTGTATTAAAGCGAAAAAATCGGTTTGGACAAAGTGGACGTCAGATTCACGCTGCGACTCATTTTGTCCTAAACGAGTTCCGACGCTTGCAAACGTAAGATTTTGAAAAATTTATAGTTCTATAAGAGTTCTATAAACAGTTCTCTCATATGAAAACAAAAAAAATTTTAAATAAGTTAAAATTAATTATCAGTGCAATAAACAAATTGAGCTGAAACGCAGGCCAATAACTTAGAATTTTGATTTAACAAATATATACTTTTCGTATAGTTCTGAACATATTAAAGGATTTTCTAAAGAGTCCTAGGCATTGGCGGTGATGTACGATTTTTAAATAAAGATTTTTAAATAAAGAAAAGTCGGCCGAGCGTCATATTCTTAGATGGAAAAATATGAAACGGTTGAAATCTCGAAGTTCTGATTTCACAAATATACTTTTCATAGTCCTGAACATGTTAAAACGTTTTCTAAAGAGTTCTAGGCATTGGCGATAATGTAAAAAAATACGATTTTTAAATAAATAGATACATCCCAAATGAATATTAATATGAGACGCTGTCGGCACATTTGATAGTCCAATACACTTTTCGTACTTCTGAATGTATTCTAATGCTTTGGTAAGAATTCTAATCACAAAAAATATTTCGACCAGCGTCTGATACTTTTCCGTTTGTCTCTTTGTTAATTTTATTTTAATTTATTAATTATACGGAGTTCTTAAATTATATTGTTTTTAAGTATTTATGTTTTTTTCTTATTTAATATAATTTTGACATTTATAAATATAATATATAATTTATATAATTATTTTTTTAACTTAAATCTATTTTTATTTTCTTGTGAATTATTATTATGTTATTAATTTTTACATTATTTGCTATACCATACGAATTCCTTAACACTAATAACATTTTGGGATAAGAAAAGCGAAATGTATTCACTGTGAGTCTAATAATATCTTATCGATATGTTTCTCATTTTGTTTCCTACTCTGGTCGCAACTTT